ACATGTTGAAAAAGCGACATGCAATTTTAGCGAATTGTGGTTAAATGACGTAAGAGCGAAATGTTGATTTATCGAATCTCTCTTGTCATTGTTGATTTCCTGTTTTCACAATACTTGTCTGTTGCCTGCCAAAACAAATGCGCAATTATCACCTCCATAAAAACAAAGAAAAACTGTCAAGTGTAATTAGGAATTATGTTCCGGATTACTGTATACAAATCCCCAAGCCTTGGCCATTTGAATTTATAATAAAGTCATTAGCGACATCTTGAATAAGCAAATCAGTTCTCTCGCTAAATTTGCTAAAAAGACATGCTCGCGAAAAAGATATGTTTTACAGTATTATGCCATAATTTACATATTAAGGTGAACAATGTCCACTCATATAAAAATGTCACATAAGCAGAGTACCGGTATTCTCCAAATTTGTCTCCAGCTATAAAGAAACTAGGAATAGACATTTCAATATGAAATTGATTTCTAGTATTCCTAGGAGAAATAAATAATGAATATTAAATTTAATTTATTAACAATTTATAATATTTGATTTTTCTAAGGTCATACTGGTGTCATCATCATTTATGAGTCCTGCTGAAAGTAAAAACTGCAATAATGTAAACAGGGTCCGGATATTCGGTTCTGATAAACTCAGCAAAACAGTTTGTAATCAGAATTGGGATCGAGTCAAGATTGTGTGTACACAACCATTTAACAAGGTATGTCTGTTGTATAAATTAATTGTGCTTAAAACACTAAAAATGAAAATTCTGCTGCGATCTCCACCTTTCCTGCCAACAGCCCTCACGTTGGGGGCGCTGCCAGGGGATCCCTGCAAAGCGGAAGCAATCCGCTGCATACTCGATAATGTAGTTCACTAATTAGTCCGTTTTCATTTGGCAGAAACAGCAAATAACCTTTCCACTGACCAATATTTTCAGTTTGGGATGTCGTTTGAGAAAAATGTTACACCTGGACGAAGGGTATACTTCTATTTTATAGATTGTGTGGTTCAGGTTACAAAGTGATCACACGTATCGTCGATATTCAATGTAAAACAGGCTCCAAAGCACTGACGAGACTCATTCACCTAGATAGCATTGTACAGTTACAAAAGATAAATTTATGTAATCTTTTTGGCATACAAAGGTTGTTTATTGACTGGACATAAGTGAGAAATTATGGTTACTTCCTTAGTAACCAGGAACCGCACGTCATTGTGGCAGCTACTGCAATTTTTAATGTTGGCTAACTGTGATCAGTTTGAATCGCCGCATGTTTTCTACACAATGTCTAAGTTGCCGACAACGATCATATCAGTCACCCTCCTTAGAAAAAAAAATGTATTATATAATAAAATAAAATATGCATTGTAGATGCAGGCGTGCTAGCTGGAAACGAGAGATAGAGACAGCTGGTCTGAGAGGGCATGTGCTTCGCTGTTCGATCGAGTGGCACCCGGGACTGGCGTAACAATTATTCAATTGTATTTATATCTTAGTTTCTTACTGGATATTAAAATGTATTTGTGATGAATGATCGTTTGGGGCGTGTGGAAAAAAAAACCTTGCCATACCTAACGCCGGCCTGTTTACAGTAAGTAAACATGCAGTACAGTTCAGATCTAAAAATTTGACGTCATAATTGGGCGGGGACACTCCGTATAAGGAGTAAGATGATTGACACGTTTCTTGATTTGAATTTCATTTGTCGAAGCTCTGACGACGCTTCTACGAATTCCTTCTCAAGTTCACTTTCGGCTCCATTTGCCACTTCAACGACGTGTTTTTTATATGGTCGACAGTGGATCGGTGCCAGTAAACCCATGTTTGTGTCAAATTTTGCCATCGCACGTCGGCCTTTACCGATCCCTCTTCCTCCTTCCTCCATTTTCCTGTTTACTTGGAACTGCTTTCTTTGTTTTCAAAAGATGTGAAAATGCTCTCGGCTGAGGAAAAATAACATTCAGAATTTGAACATTTAAATTGGAAGTAGGATTCCCAGCCGTGCTGTGTGTCTATTTAAAATGTATTATTTAAAATGTATCTATTTAAAATGTATCTATTTAAAATGTAGACAACGATCAGTCTCAGCGATCCATCTGCGTCAGCCATCTCATCATCATCATTTCCTTTCTGATGCACTTCTTGGCGCTTCTAGTTTTTCAATGTCTGAGCTACATGTAGATAAATGTTGCACCAATACAGCAGTATTGTTGGAGTCCGAACTTTCGCTGGACTCATACCACGATCGTTTTTTTTTTTTGAGACGAAGTTTTGCTTCTTCGGACATTGGGGTCATATTCTTTCATTTTGGTCCCTTCCTTCTTTTAATTTCTAATAATAATTCTGATAACAATTATAGGGAGCACTAATTTTTGAATGTGTCACACACGGTGTACTAATATAGAACGATTGCAGAGACAAGTCGTGCGTGCATTGTTTCCGTTGCTAAATAGGCCAACTTATGCAAATTAGGTCAATATTTATTGATTGCGCTCGAAGCCGATTATCCTTAAATCAAAGTGAGCGGTCTGCTGTTATAAACACATACCTAATTTTTTTGTTAAAAATGCTTTTTTTGGAAGTACTGGTTACTATATACATCCTTAAGCAGACTAAATCAGTATATGCTTACTGGAAACACTGAGCACCATTTTATTCTCCATGCTCTGTTTCGACTGGTTAGCCTCACGATGCTTACCTGCACATAATGATGCACCCAGTGAGTCAGCGACACCTTTGATTCACCTATTTGGGCCAAGTAGTCGAGTTAAGGGTGCTCCCCATCGGGTTATACATGGCACCATACGTGTTCACCAGAGTGTTCACCAGACTGGTTGCTACGCAGCCCAAACAAGGGGTTGGCCGAGCAAGTAAGGCTAACACTGGATTTACTACACCAGTTGGGCTTCCTAGTAAATCTAGAAAAGCCCCATCCACACCCAACACAGTGTTTGGGTTTTTGGGCATCGAGGTCGACACAGAGACGAGCTTGGTATGACCATCGCAGACTCGTTGCCTAGCACTAAGCAGCCTAGCCAAACGTCTAGTCGACGTTTCCTCTGTGTCTCTCTCGAAAGCTGATGCGTATCATCGGAATGATGACCTCAGTTTGCAGGGTAGTTCCCCAAGCTGCGTTACGCTGCCACCCTGTACAGCACACTTTGTTGCAGCACCGGGTTCCCCTCTGGAAACTCGAGAGGCGAGTAACTTTCAGACACAAGCGGGGGATGCCTTGCCCTGGTGGACGGCAATTGCCAACCTCAGGCAGGGGGTCCCCCTGGACCCACTCGCCACTGCTATGACTCTGATAACAGATGCCTCCCTCACAGGTTGGGAGCGCACCTATTGGACGAACAAGCACAAAAAATATGGCCGCTGCATTGGGTTCAGGGCTGCCATATCCATTGGCGCGAACTGAAAGTAGTACACTTAGCACTGACATACTTTCTACTCATAGTTCAAGGCCACAGAGTCTTGCTTTGCATGGACAACACAGCGGTAATCTCCTATATCAACAAGGAGGGGGGGGGGGCAGATCTCTATCACTGTCAGTTCTGGTGGAGCAAAGTATCCTTTGGTACCTGGAATACATTGTGGAGCTAGCTGCACACCACCTTCCAGGGGTGCGAAACAGTCAAGTGGACGCCCTCTTGTGGTGACTCTGTTTCCAGAACATGGAGTGGCAGATACCCTAAGAGGTAGCCTCCAGACTGTTTCGGCAATAGGATGATCCAAAGTTAGACCTATTCACAACACCCCAAGAATGCCAAGCTCACGACGTACATGATGTACAGGAGCCTGGGCCAGGGACACTTTGTCGATCCTGTGGGCCACGCTTTTCCTCCCTTCCCCTTAATTCACTGGGTACTTTGACAGGAGCATACCTGCATATTGACGTTGGTAGTGCCAAGCAAGGCCTGGTTACCACTACTGTTGGAAATATTAGTCAAAACACCAGTGGTACTTCTTGACATTCCGAATCTGCTGTCCCAACCGGACAATGCACTGCTGATGAGCCCAGTGGTGTACCGATTACACGCATCAAGGCTCTCAGTTGACTCGCTCAGGTTTATATGAGCAGGCTGCCAACGTGCTGGCCAGGGCGGACAGGGATTCCACCAATGCAGCCTACGTCTCAAAATGGCGGGCGCACGTTGATGGCTGTAATGGAAGGGAGATTGAATCATGTCTCCTTTGGCCAGGTACATGTACATGTAGGTGATCGTTTCGTCCATTTGTCTAACAAGTTAGGCTTGTCTTATGCACTGATTGTTGGCTATACATGTAGGTCAATCTTGTCACCCACCATCGAGAATTCTTTGGGGACAAGACTAGCCGTTTTTTCTATTATCAGTAGACTGTTTACTGCTTTCCATCAGAGGCCTAGACCGCGAACAAGGGAAGCGTCCAATTGGGACTTGTTGGTTGTATTGTCCGCTTTAAGCAGATCACCCTTGGAGCCTCTGGGATCAGCACCACTGAAATATTTAACATGGAAAACAGTCTTCCTACTAGCTCTCGCCTCTGGTAGGCGTCGTTCTGTGCTGCCTTTATGGACAATAAAGCTTTGCTAAAGACACAAATTGGGGTTCTCGGCAAGAACAGAATTCCAGGACATGATCCTTAGCCGATCGTCATCCCCCATCTGGTCAATATTGTTGGCTCAGAGGATCAAGAGGAGTCATTTTTTGCCCGGTTCAAGCATTGAATTACTACGAAAACCGTACTAGGGAATCAAGGCATGGCAGCAAGCACATGTTTATGCGTTATGGCCAGGGTAAGCAGGACAGACCAGCCTCCCCATTCCATTTCCAGGTGAATTACTGAATCTGGGATCCTCGACACAAGGTCTACAGAGACTCAAGAATGAGCGCAGAGGTTTGTATGATCGTTTCTCTCCTTGAACGTGTCCAGGTCTCGCTTTCGGCCTATGCCCTCATGCATAACTGTTTCGGTCTCTTTTCCTTTGGAATGCTAGTTACCCCGGAATCTGGTTTGGGTCTAGCGTCCTCGGCCATGCCGACCCCGTCACCCTATAGGCAGTGGCTTTTGTTATTGAAAACGACACTGGCAAGATAAGACATCATTTGTCACTGGTCTGAACTAAGTGGTAGTTGTAAGTAGGGAATATTTTCCCGCGCTGGGACACCCTTTATTGTTTCTGTTCTTGCTCAGAAACCCACCACCTCTTGGCGTCTGACTCTATCTACAGTTCAAAATAGTCATTTACAAGGACTAAGCCAATCACTACAGAAAAGTGGGGTGGTCGGGAGAGACATATGGAGTCTATGGTGGGTAATTGAATGTAGTGTATTTAGGCAGAGGGTTTTCAACCCACCTATTCACATAGTTCATACCCACCATATACTCTAGGTTCCTCTCTACTACCTCACTTTTCTCTAGTGATTGGCTTAGTCCTCATATACAGAGATCATGGGCAAGATGCCGCAGGGCTCTTTGCCTCGGTCTTGTGTTGCGTGACATGGAAGATAATCTATAAGGTCATGGGGCTTTCCCTGACCTAGATTTCTCTCTCTGTCATTCGCTAAATCGCAGATTAATGCCTACAGTTCAAAATAGTCATTTTGACTGACCAGAGTCTATGGTGGGTATGAACTATGTGAATAGGCGGGTTGAAAACCCTCTGCCTAAACTGCTTTTATGCTTTTTGAAAAAAATAATTTTAAATGTTTTTTTGACTCCCATGTGCGAAGCACAAAATGGGAGTCTTCGCAGTTAGTGTGTCTGTATGTGTATGTGTGTGTGTGTGCGTGTGTGTGTATGTGTGTCCGTCTGTTCCACTGATATCTCAAGAACTATACATCAGTTTTTGATGAAACTTGGTGCATAGATGCTCTGGGCTAATGCGCAGATTTGATTAGGTTTTGGTAAAATTTCATGCATATTAATTACCTAATTTGCATGATAATAAGCTAATTCCAGCTGTTCCATGGCTGTTCCATTGCTATCTAAAGAACCACTTATTGGATTTTGATGAAACTTGGTACATGGATGCTTTGAACTAATGCTTGGTTTTGATTAGTTTTTGGGATAAATATCTGTGTATATTAATTACCTAATTTGCATAATTAGTTAATTTTCAGCTTTTCCATAGATAATTCAAGTACTAATTATCACATTGCAATGAAACTTGGTACATAGATCCTTTAGGACTATCCAGAGACCTGATCAGTTTTAGGGTAAATAATTTTGTATATTAATTACCTAATTTGCATAATTATTTAATTTTCAGCTTTCACACTGATTTCTCAAGTACTAATCATCACATTTCAATGAAACTTTGTACATGGATGCTGTAGGACAATAGACAGACCTGGATAATTGTGGGTTAAAATCTGTACATATTAATTACTAATTTACATAATCAACCACTTTTAAGCTATCACACTGATATCTAAAGTACTAATTATTCCATTTCAATGAAACTTAGTACAAAGATGCTCTAGGACAATGTACAAACCTGATTAGTTTGGGGTTAAAATCTGTTTATATTTATTTAATTCTCTAATTAGCATAATAATTTATAATTTTTTTTGGTTCCAATCACATTTCAATAAAACTTGGTACATAGATGGTCTGTTACATTGCGCAGACCTCATTAGTTTTTCCATTAAAATCTGTTCATATTAATTTTCTGATTTTCATTATTAGTTTTTGGCTTTTCTATCACTATCTCTGACAAGTAATTTTGAATTATATTTAATGTGTCTCCAATACTCTCAGCACATGGGAGTTCTTTCTAAGCTTTCTTTGATTTGAATTTAATCCTAATCTTATGTGCAAAATGAAATATGGATTCCAAACTCGTCATGTGAGCTGACTTTCACTAATCTATGTATTCTCTACAGCACACAGCCTTTGGTTTGTCATTCATTAAGTTTCACTCGCCTCCACTACCAGGTGAGGAAAAATCACCTGCACAGGTAAGCCACAACTTTAATCACAGTCAATATTAATGCAAATAAAATATAACTCTCTACTCTACAAGACCTAATGCACTACACTATAGTACACTACCCTACTTTGTATTGCACCAAACTATGCTACACTACACTACTTCATACCACACCAAACTATGCTAAACTACACTACTTCGTATTGCACCAAACTATGCTACACCACACTACTTCGTATTGCACCAAACTAGGCCACACTACTCGTATTGCACCAAACTATACTACACTACACTACTTCGTATTGCACCAAACTATGCTACACTACACTACTTTATACCACACCAAACTATGCTACACCACACTACTTCGTATTGCACCAAACTATGCTATACTACCCTACTTCATACCACACCAAACTATGCTACACTACCCTACTTCATACCACACCAAACTATGCTACACTACCCTACTTCATACCACACCAAACTATGCTACACTACCCTACTTTATACCACACCAAACTATGCTATACTACCCTACTTCATACCACACCAAACT